CCTTAGCCACTTGAGCCACAGGTGCCGAGCCTAGTTTTTCTATTTTTAGTAGAGACGCAGGTCTTGCTTTTGCTCAGGCTGACAATTTGTGAGGCCAAGCAATCCACCCACCTCATCCTCCCAAAGTGCTAGGATTACAGGCGTGAGCCACCCTGCCTGCCACAATATACTTTTTACTTTCACCAAGTTTCACTTTATACTTTCACTGCAACTGTTTGAAAATAAAAACAGTAGAGGTAAAATTTTCTAAATTTTTCTTCTTTTCCTTGTTAAATATCTTTTTTTTGCTGGCCAGCTGGATACTAGGTTGTTTTATGTTCATTTCTAAAGTGGGCAATACCGGTAATGTGACATTTAGTAATGTAATCATGATAAGAGGTTTTTAGTACCAAAGAATACCAAAATTTATTATTTCTAAAATGATGCAGTTTTTCCCATCTTATTTCATTGTTTCTAAAATGTGATTTCCCCTCACATTTGAACACATCCAAAATCATGTTGCATATGAAATGTCATGATTTCCCTGAATGTATTTTGAAACAGTATATGTTGACTCTTCCTCAGGATTATCTCTTTAATTCTTATTTCTATATCTGATTAATTTTTCTGTAAATTCTAAAATTTGGCCCTAAAAGTAAGACCAATAAATCATAATGACTATTTCTTGTTTATGCTTTTGTAAAATGCCCATAAAATTAGAGAACTTTTTTCTTCTTTTCTAAAAACTTAATGTTTCCCTTAAATCTCTCTTTTAATCTGTTGATTGCTAATGACAGATTTTTGACTACTTCTATTGCTCCTATAGGTAATAGTAATCTCAAAGAATCATTTTAAAATAAATTTAAGAAAGCCAGAAACGTAAGCAATTTATGTGTATGTTTTAATCATTGTAGAGTGAATTTGACATAACTTAGGTTCACAGAAATTGTCTGTTTTCAAGATAACATTTCTCATATTTTAATGAAGTGATTATATAAAGTCATCCCCTGGAAAGAATAGTGATACAGTATATCTTCTTAGAATATGAATTACTGGATTTCTTTGTAATCAGATGTACACACATTTTATATATTTTTTTAATCTAGGAGAGCTCCTGAAAATAGTCTAGAAATATTTTTAATCTTCACAAACTTAGAAAATGTCTCAGTAATCTTGAAAATTTTAATTCTTAGGATGATATAGCGTTTGTTTTTGAGATTATAGTTATCTTTTGTTGTTAATTATTTTTAATGTTTAATTTTTTTATTATTTCTTTTTCTTTGTTTTTAAAAATAGAAACCCTGGCTATGAAAGGATTAACACTGAACTGTTTGGGAAAAAAGGAAGAAGCTTATGAATTGGTTCGTAGAGGTTTGAGAAATGACTTGAAGAGTCATGTGTGTATCCTTTTTCAGATATATTTAAGGATTGAGTGGGGTGTTTTGAGCTAAGGCAGCAATTTGAGAAATTCCTCTTATGCAACTCTAGAGGAAATTGTTCTATCTTAAATAGAATAACAGCAACTACATTCATAATACATTTTTTATATGCCTACCATATAC